AATCTGTTCTTCCCCTTAACAAACCTTCTACGAAATGACAAAAGCACACGCATCTTTCGCATCTTTCTCCTGCTCAATGATTAGTGAATTATCGGTTCAACCTCAGATCAATTTTTATGATTTTGTCCAGAATACTGGAAGTGTCAAAAGTGCCAAATGGTATTTTTCAGCGGTTTTAATGCATCATCAGAAGCAGTGGATGTTGTTCCTGGTATACCAAGCGTTTCTGCAGTTGGTGTGTCATCTGTTGGTGGTGAAACAAGTAACGAGCATACAGTTCATCGCTCTCATGGCATAACAAGTATCGTGATGCCAATGAATATCAGTGTCGTCAGTGATGAAATAGACGCCAAGCAGAGTTCGTTTCAAAAATTCTGCAAGTTATTTTTCCATTTTTGAAGAGCTATACTTCTTTTCTCTTTAGATTAATGCTAACCAAGGTCGGGAAAATTCCGAAGCTGCTAATGGTGGCCCTCCAAATCAACAAGAGCATATTGCAGCCAGTACCTCGGAAAACATTGATGGAGAAGGTAATGACACTCTTGAAGGTCCTTTATTATCTTTACCGTGGTCGTACCTATTACGTTTTCACTCATATGCCGGGAATATTCTAGCTGAAAAACCCAAAGAGCAGAATGAAGTGAGCAGTTCTGTTGAAGCAGAAGGGGATTCGGTAATTCGCCTCAAATTTCTCGATGATACTCAAAGAGATGCTCGTACCACCATGACTGACACAATTGGCAAATTCAAGAGGTATGTATGCATATCTAACGATGGAAGACTTTGATCACGTTTATGTATTGTTTTTAGTGTCCATTTTGGAGACGCTGTCGCTGCAGGCCGAGTTGTCAGGCTCATCTACCAAGGTCTGTTTGTATCCTCGTGCAATCATTGTACCATTGCTGAGGTCATCATGTTCAGGTCAATTGCTCCGAGAAGATTCGAGAACCTTAGCCTCTTACGGCCTTCGTGACGGTTGTGTTGTTCATTGCCATATCAGCAATACACCATACGCTAGACAGGTACTGTAGTTTTGAGAGGTTGAACGTTCGGATCGGACATCACTTGTTTCAGGCTCCATCTACTTCGCAACCAGTAGCTTTCTCTTCTAATCTGAGGTATCGAGATGCTACACCCAATAATAATGTACCTTCCACGTCCAGTGCAAGGCCTGAAACGCAAGGTAAGCACATTTAAGTACTGTAACAGTAGTTCCCTTTTAAATACTTCCTGCATTCTTAAGTTGTTCCGGTATGTCTACAAATCTTTATATTTTATTTGAGAGTTTTCAGAGTTTCGCTACCCTCGATGGGCCGTTGCGCTTCTGTTGTACACTTATCGGTTCCCTTTAATTGGCTTGCCATTGGATGCTGTTGTACGATACATATTTGATAGGCAGTTAGCACCTTCGACGGAACCCGGCATTGTTCGTCGAACATATCGAAGGTATTTTCTTCACCAGTTTGCTTTTTTCAAAATTTCAACTGTAGTAAGTGCACTAATATATCTTTTTTTACAATAATAGGCTCTACTTAACTACTACATG